CTACATAAAAAGTTCTACAAAGCAAGAAGTGACAAGATTATATTATTTTATCAAATAACTAACGAAAATAGGTAAAGAAAGTGATTTAAGTTTGACCGCGTGAATAGTAACTGGGAAGATAGTTTTAGGACGGAGGGAGTATAATGTAAATTTAATAAAATTGGGTTCATTTTAAAAATGGTTTGATATATCAAATTTTTAAACATTTAATTATATAAAATTATATTTAATTTGTTGTCAAAGTGTTACACACTTTGACCAAAAAACTCAAACTATGATGATATTTTAATTTTTTTTCATTTACAGAATGGAGACTCTTTATGATTTTTTCATTTTAAATACTATTAGCTTTCTTAAAAAGATGGCAGATGGTGCACACTCAAATTTTCATGTACATGGAGTAATTTTTTTGAACCAGAGGGGCACTAGTGAACATTTAGCAAACCACAGGGGGGAATGGTGCCATAAAGCTGACAAAATACTCTACCAAACGCATATCAAATGCGTTTCCTTCACGCTCCGTTAAAATTTACGGATTTAGAAACGGAGGGGGCAATGGAGTAGGATTTTAGAACTAGTGGGGGGGATGGAGTAAGTTTTAGAAGTAGAGGGGGCACCAGTGAACATTTAGGAAATCACAGGGGAGAACGGTGCATTAAACTCTATATATAAAGGATTTTTACATGAGCTAGTGCTCCAAGAAATACACAATTTTACACGAATATACTTCGAAACTCAATTAATGCATCAATGTTTCAAGAAATTATACTTTTTATACTGTTATTTGTTGCTGCCAACTCAGCCCACTACGTGATACTTCCTCTATGTTAAAATGTTCTTTCCACTCACTTTTTATCCGATCAAACTTTAACTACTTTCTTTACCTATTTTCATTAGGCATTTGATAAAATAATATAGTCTTGTCACCACTTGTTTTGTAGATCTTTTGATGTAGTTTTTAAATATATAAATTTTATTTTTAAATTTTACACCTACAATCAAATAAATTGAATTGAAAATAAAGTCAGTCAAACCTCGTAAAATGAACCGGGAAGAACATTATAGCTACCAGTATAACTGTATAAGTTATGAGTTGACAACTAAAAAGATTTGATAGAATTTTCATTAGATGTACAGTAGCTTCTTGTATAAAGGTAATTTCTACAATTCATTTTTTCTAATTTTGTTTTTTCATACTCCCTCGTCCCCAATTTGATTACAAATTGCGGGTTACGGAGTAAAATTTCCTACTTTTTGAAATTATTTTATTTACAAATTGATATATATCAATAAGATATAAAAATTACATATTAAAAAACTACGTCAAAAGTTCTACAAAACAAGAGGTGACAATAATATTGTAATTTATCAAATACTTAATGAAATTGCGTAAACAAACAAAAGTTATCGAGAAGAGAGAAAAAAAGTTGTAATCTATTTAGGGACGGTGGGAGTATTATTATCCAATAGATTCTATATATATATATATATATATATATATATATATGTATGTATGTATGTATGTATGTATGCATCCCGATTCTCACTTCATTCGGCAGTTAGAGCAACAATAAGTTCATCGAATATAATACTGTAATGCACAATTTGTTCAGATACTAAATCAAAGTAGAACGACGACAATAAAAAAAACACAAACTAATACGCACCTCTATTAAATTGTGACACTATAACATGCCAACGTAACCAAGCGGGTTGTTAGGTATAGCTTCTGAAGCCGCCATACTTCCAAGCCCATAGTTGAAAGGCGTAGAACGCTCCTCTAGCTCTGGAGATAGTGAACGCCATGTCGGATCCTTGTATAATGAACTCCTCCCGTTCTCACGCAACATCCCAAAATCTCCGGTACGAAGAACATCTTTTGTCGCACTATTGACAATATTTTGTCCATAACCTCCGGCACCAGCAAAACTGCCAGCCCCATAATTACCTGTTCCCCCATTCCTCACTCCTCCTTGGCGTGAGATAGAAGAGGAACCCCAAATCGTTCCAAGACCTCCTCCAAGGGCAGCATCCAATCCGGTACTATTCCCAGTTATTGATCCAACATATTCGGTCACATTTCCAGGGTTCCTACTGTAAAACCCGTTCTCATTTTCCAACATGCTCCGACCCGCTGACGACAGCATTGAACCACTTCCATCTATTCCCGAAGCATATCGAATTTGACCAATGTGCCGATTTGAATTCCCACCATAAAAGGAATCCATATCATTTCCAAACCCCAGATTATAACTCAAACCCCCGCCGTACTTTGAACTCATTGACGGGTCTAGACTTGGTCCAAAATTATAGCCAGATGGAGCAATTGACGAATAACCACTTCGCCCTACACCAGTTGGACTACTTCTTTCCATTCTTACTCCTTGGCTTCCTATTGGGGTCTGATTGTAACCTTGGGTGTATGCATTCAGAAAATTGCTCACTCTGTTCAAACCATATGTATATCCTCCCCCTAATGGACTTCTGGCTGGCCCTGGTGATAGCTCCTTGGGAACAGCACGCTTGACTTCAACCATTTTTCCATTAAGTTCATGAAATGTTTTGTGCAAAACATTATCCACAGCTTCCTCTGAGTCATAGGTTATGAACCCAAAACCTCTGGGCCGCTGTGTGTTATGGTCATACATCACCACAACATCTGTGATCGTTCCGAATTGATCAAAGTACTCCTTGAAGTCGCTTTCAGTTACGGAGGATGGCAAGCCACCTACAAAAATCTTTTTGGTGCGCATCGTACTTTGTGGAGACTGTATACTTCCATTGTTCCTACTTGAGTATTGATCCTCCCTAGGCACAGCCTTCTTTGCCTCCACCTACTCAAAAACGTAAAAGGATCAAACCAACTGAGGTCAGTATCACATTTGGGGGATAAAGAGGTAGAATATGAGTCACATTGCTTATATATCCTGGATTTAATACCAAGTTAGTTGTCACAACAGTAAGTCAAAGATGTGAATTATTGCACAGATTCGAGTCAGTTACAACTGCAAAAGAAGGATAATATACGCTTGAAATGTAGATCACAAGTTGTAAGCAAAAGGGAACCCCAAAAAATAGAAAAAAGAAAGGAAATCGTCCCATACATTTCTTGTTGTTTAGACAATCTATCCTCAATCTTGTATGGTGATTATACAACCCCTGCCTCTGGAACGTTGTGTTATTTACATATGAATCACAGCAAAACCATATACACCTTACACGTAACATATCCTTTATGGTCAAGCCCATTATTATTTTTTCACATTGTTAAAATTAAGATGATATCATTAACTACACATTACATATCACTTTCCAAATGTTTCAAGTGGAGCTATGTCTCCTTCAAGTACATTAGGGATTAAACAAATGCAAATGTTAAACAGTTAGGAACCAATGTGATAATTTTAATAGCAAAAATAACCACCTTGGACAAGTCCAGAGAATGTCTCAAATGGAATAAAACTGGTAAAAAATTTGTACTATATGTGACTTACAGTTCTACCATCGATGGTGTGTTTTTCCTTGACAACTCTTTCTGCAACAGAAGGATCAGAAAAAACAACAAAACCAAAACCACGGGTGCGCCCTGTGGTCCGATCTTTCATGACAACTGCCTCAACCATATCCCCAAATGTTTGGAAATAAGCACTGAGACGTTCTTCAGTGGTGTCCCAAGATATGCCACCAACGAACAACTTTCCAGGCTCCATTTCCATCCTGCACAAAAGGATTCCCATCAGACAAAACACAATAAAAGGGATTCTCAGCAGATCTAGTTCACCCAATAAAGAGCTAAAGAACCACTGACACACAGACGCAATCAACAAGCAATAACAGATGAAAGGATCTACAAAGTGGCATAGAGTTTAGTGAACCACCAAAACTATGCAATCAGACCCAAACATGTCAAATGACCATATCACTGATGATCCTAATTCCTCCTCAAACAGAATAATCCAAAAGAAAATATCGAAATGAAAACATATTAGGCAACAAGAACCACCTGGTTATTTAAACTACCAAAAAGTTTAAATCTTAGAACAGTCAGACAAAAATACGAGCAAATATATGATTATGACAGAAAACCCATCTGATCTTTGACAGATCCGAAAGCTTATCGATCAACCCAATCCAGTATTCCAGAAGAAGCAAGAAAGTATCAAACTTTGAGAATAAGCAAAGAAGAATGGATCGCCCCGAGGAAGCAAAGTGATTGGATTTACCAAAAAAAAATAAAAGGTTGAGGCTCCAAAACAGATTGAGAAAACTCGAGATCAGAAGAGAGGCATATATGAGGAGCAGAGGGGCTGGACTCTGGAGAGGCCCCCCTGTATAGCTCTCTCTTCCTTTGGGTTCTCTTCAAATTCACCCTTTGACAGACCTGCTCAGGTACATATATATAGAGTGAGATCGAGAGACACGGAAAGCTAATAGAGAAGGTAAGAGAAAGGAGAAAATATGGTGTGATGAAGAGATTAATTTACGTATCTGAAATGGGTGCTAAATGGAAGAGCTTTTGGTTATCCTCTCGTGTGAGAAATGTAGAGAGCCTAGACGATGGAAGGTGGTGGTGGTGGTGGTGGTGACTTACCATTGTCAAGTTTTTCTTCTTTCACTCGTTTGAATTTGGGTTAAAAATACTTCAGAGCCAAGAGGCATCATCTCCGCTCAGTAAATTATTATGCGCTCTAGTCCAATTACCTACTACTCTGTAATTTCTATTCTCCTCCCCTTTTGATCTTAAATACTAATTAGTATTGTGGTTCCATACAAAAGTTTTACATCTCTTTTTTTTTGTTTCAAAAAAGAACTTTTATTTTAGAAAAACAATTGTAGCCACTGCATGACATGTCACTCCACTCATTCGCCACATGCTGACTGGACTCTTTTTGATCGATTGAAACGCTCCACATCTCCATGTGTCATTCCCATTTTTTACTTGACATTGCCAATGCTAAGTATTTGTACTTTTAATTTTTTTGGTTAAAATTGACAAATTTTGACCATAAATGAAATAAAAATGATATTAGATATTAATACAGAAATAATTTTATTAAGTATTTTCAAATATTATTTTATCTATTTAAGTTAAAATATATATTTTATTTAATTATATGTCAAAAGTTGAAAACGATTATCTAAAAAAAGTCAAAACTAGAAAATTCGATTAGTTTAATTAACATGTACTCCGTATATAAAAAACTGATAATTTTTTTAATTAAATATGTTATCGTTACTAATGATATTAGTAAGAATAATAGTAATAATAATAAAAATAATACTCTTGTAATAATAATAATAATAATAAAAAGTAATACGAGTAATATTTTTATTTGCAAAAAAGTAAAGTAACGCGAACTCCAATAATACTTCTTGAGTATGTTTCTATTCGGAAATAGTAATTTAGGCTCACATTAACTAAGGAGTTCATACAGAATATGTAGTGCTCATTAATAGAGAAATTACACAAGGGCCAGAGAAAAAACAAATTAGATATTTTGCCCAATATCCCCCTTCAAGCTGAGTCTGACAACAACAAGAGGAAGCTTGAACATTAGGGACCATAGACGTTGGGAGGTTAATGGCTTTGTCAAAAGATCAATGAGTTCCTCTTCATAAGAAACATGTTCAACAACCACAAACCCATCAATAACTTGTTTACGAAAAAAGTGACAATCTATACTAATATGTTTCATTTGCTTGTGAAAACCCAGACTCTTTTTTAGTCAGTCATATAGCACGGTGATTATAAAATGAGAATGGGTGGCGGCACAGCAACATGTAAATCCATTAAGAGGTATTTCTGCCGGCAAATACTTTTGTAGACCTAAGGTCCACCATGGACCTACATATGAGTAAAATAAATATTTCTTTACTTCTTAAATAATCACATGTTTTTTTAAAAAAATAAAAAAATAGATTTTTTACGTCAGAAGATCCACAAAAATGGTATGCACTCAAGGTATACTAAAGAAGCACTCAATTTTGTCAAAAAGGGAAGTTTATTTAGGGACGAAGGAAGTATGAAAATAAGAAGGCCGGTAGATGTATGCTTGGTGAAGAAACTATTATCATGAGTGTTGAGGACTTGTCGTGTGGTCCAAAACAAATTAAAAATTTATAAAATATCCTTAACCAACCCCCAAAATATAATCAAATAAAAAATATAGCTAGGGCAAGTAAGGGTCGATCCCACGGAGAAAGTTTGTACTTTTGAAATCATTTAAGCATGCACACACATTGTCACGAAATAAAATAAAAAAAACTACACATATGATAAGAACTTATAAAACTTATAATAAAACTTATAACTAAAAACATATAAATATAACTTATATAAACAAAGAACTTATAATATAACTTATAAACATAAAACATATACTTAAGATATACTAAAAAATATATAAAAACTTATATTTATAACTTAAAAAACAAAAAAGGGGGGGCGTTGAATAAAAAGTAAATATTTTTTGGTTTTTTTATATTTTCATTTTTTTTTGATTTTTTTTAATAAAATGGGAGAAACAAGCTCAAAAGATAATCAACTTTCCAACTAAGGTAGCCCAAGAAACACCGCCAAGAACCCAAAACAAAATGGAAAAGAGAACAAACACAAATTGAACATTGCACGTATGATAGACACGTAGACAATATATTACGTAACTTACGCACTTAAAAATAGAAAAGAGTTCAAAGGCTCGAGTTGATTCATATCCTTGACCACATATAGAGGATCGTCAACTCTCTATAAGGCCCGGAGTCAAAGATTCAAAGGCCTTTTGGTTACTTTGAACCCCCACTCACCTCAAGCGCTCAAACAATGATTCCAAAAGATGAAAAAGTTTATAAAAGAGCGAATCTTTCTTTCATTCTAACTCCCATGCACAAAGTATTCATGAA